GTGTTTGTGGCAGACATCATCGGTTCTGGGGTCCATCTCTTCCCCCAGGGACTAGAGTTAGCCCTGACCAGTCTAAGAGAAAATCCATTCCTCGCACAGGTAATTGGTTTGGGAAGTAGCCGTGTGACTTAGTACTGATTAATGACATGTGAGAATTTTGCCAAGGGGGTTCTGGAAAGGATTCCCTTCTTTTATGAAGACATACACAATGCAGGAACGCAACATTTTCTGGCGCTGGACATGATGTGTGAAGACGTGGTGCCAGAAGCTGTTGGTATGAGAGGAACTAGCCAACACGTCAGGGCCAGAGCCAGGAACATGAAATGGTCTCGGTTCGGAGATCGTGTTCTGAAGCCACCCAATTCATCATCCCTAGAGCCGTCCTATCTCTAAACTTCTTCTTCTATGAAACAATCAATCCCCTTCATGTTTAAGTCACCTCTACCTATGATCTGCTGTTACTGGCAGCCAAAAGCATCTTAACTGCTACAATAGGTGCACAAATGCATTTCATAAAATTTATTCCTTCATCCAACAGGATGCCCCGTGTACCAGGCTTGAGTCATTCTGCAGACACATTTCAGCTCTGCTTCTTTTCCTTAACATCTTCTCTAGTCATTAAAAACTCTTTGTATATGTAATTTTGATGGGTTTGTTTTGATGGCTACATCTTTTACTCATTTCCTTATTATCTTTTTAGGTTTATAATCTACCTGTTATACTTAGGTTGCTGAGGATTTCATTATTGATAGTAAAGACATGGTCACATTTCTGATACTTTTTGGAATATATCCCTAAAAACAAACAAACAAACAAAAACAGAAAAAGATATATTTTAAGATATCAGATATATATTATCAAATTGCTTTTTAGACAGTTTACGCCAATTTATATGTCCCATGAAGTGTTTGAGATTTGCTGCTGCGTCTGAGGACACTCATATAATATACATTTGTTTGATTTTCAAACGTTTCTGGGAAATAACTGTGATCGAAGTCTACGGGACACATTTACCCAACAAATCAATGGCATAAAAAATGAGAGGGGAGACTGTTAACAAACAGAAGAGACTTCAGAGATAAAATGTATGGATCCTGCTTTATCCAGATGATCTGTAAAAAAATAATTCTGAGAAATTTGAATATGGACGGGATATTCTTTGGTGTTAAAAATTAGTGCTAATTTTGTTAGGTGTGAAACTGGCAGAGTGGTTATTTTGGGAACGCAAAGTCCTTGTCAGTTACAGATGCCTCGTTACTAATGGATGAAGTGGGAGCTGTCTGGGATTTGCTTTAAGACTCCAGCCAATCAGGGGTGAGATGGGAAAGCGGAAATGAGATTGGCAAAAATGTCGACACGTGCTGGCACTGGGAGATTAGGGTTATCGTAGCATTGTCTCTACCTTTGTGTGTGTTTGGAAAATATGATTAAAATGTTTTTACCTTGATTAAATTTTAAGTTGTTTACCTCGATTAAAATGTTTAAAAGAATATGTAGTTGACAACATACACAAAAGGCCAGGAGATTGCAGGCTGCTCCCCTTTCTTCACGAAGGGCTCTGTTGCGGTCGTCTGGGACCCTGGCAGTCTCCGGTTGCTTCTTTCCTGACCCCAAGGACATCAGGGAGCCTGGTTTGGTCCCAGGAGCTGCCAATGGGTTAGAGTTACATTAAAATGGAGCTGAAATGGTTCAAGGGAGCTAGACTGGAGTAGATTGCCAGGTGAGCTTCCTTGGCCTTCATACTGAACTTGTATGTCCTGGTCCCCAATCAGCTAGCTCGTCTGCTCCCAGACTCGGATTGGATACAAATCAGATGGCCTCTGCTTTGAAGCACAGGGAATAAATTGTGTATTGAAAAGCATCACCTGTGACATCAGTTTCATTTGTGTGCCTACGAAATACAGGGAGATTGAAATTCGTGGAGCGTAACAGATTTTAAACTGATTTATTTACATCACTTGTTGGAAGAGGCATGCATACATTCAGAAACGTATGTTTTAGTAAGTGAAGATTATAGGGTTCTAGCTTCTGATGCCAGCCAATCCCTTGATTTTAGTACCAGATTTAGCAGCCGCTGCAGTTTGGGTGTTTCTGTAAAGCATGCAACTATAGAGGCTTGGTTTATTTCCCTCACTCAATTCTACCTACAGTGTATACATTGCACTGATTGCGGCCTACACTCACTTAGCATAGTCGGGTGGAAAAGCACAGGCTTGGGAGACAAGACGAATCTAGGTTCTGATTCCAGCTTTACACCTTTAAACAAGTTACTTAGCTTCTGTATCCTTCCTTTTCTCATCTGTCAGAATGGTACTCAGAGGCTGGTAATGAGCACCCAGCTCCCCAGCTTGGGTGTGAGGAGTCAGTGTAGCCGGGGGAGGGCCTGCATTTGATAATGCTTGTGTCCTTGTCCCCCACCAAGGAAGACCCTGAGGCTTATTATTCTTAACCCAAGGCATCCTTACCGCTCATGCTTATGCGGCTCAAAAAAATCGGAGGCTTTCTATGAAACAGGCTGCATTATTAGCTTACATGCTGTTAAGCTCTGGGAGTGGTAAAAGCTATGGAAAACACCTCTAACTGCAAACATTGAGAGGCTGTCTCCCGTTGCTCCCACGAACACCGCCACTTGTGCCATTTTCTGTTATTTTTGTTGACTGAAATGATGGCAGCGATAATCAAAAATAGTAGGTAACAAAAGTCATGAATTATCTTTATTAAATTGAATGTCTTAAAACCAAATAAACGAGACAGAATATAGACATTCGTAAATCCCCAGAACATGTCACAAAATTACTAAAAATCTCATTGATTGGAAAAATCAGCTTTCAAGCTTGTCAGCGGGCTTCAGCGACATACCCGTGGATGCCCATGTCACTCATCCCAAGTGAGGCTGAATTCAGGACCCCGAAGCCAGGGCAGCCCCATTGTGCCTTTATTTTGCCCTTCGACTCACTGTGCCCTGTTTTGTAGATGCCAGTTTATCTGGTTCGGCCCGGATGCTGGACCCCTTGAGGTCCAGGACCTTGTCCGTGTCATCTTCGTGTGGCTCAGAGATGTGGTGCAGGTCCTGGAACTTAACAGATGCTCCATAAATTATTGCTGTTACCTGTGGCTGCTGCTCTGCTCTCCAAGAGGAAAATAATTGTCACCTCTGGGATCAGAAAGGAAGATTTCGGGAATGAAAACATTTGCCCATTTGAGTCTTGTGCTGCATGAGAAAGTGTTCTGATGGCTGGCAAGTGCATGGCTGCTCTCTTCTGTTTCTCGTTTAGTGACATCCATTGTCCTACGGCTGATATTTTTAGCAACGTGTCTGTGTGCACAGGTAGCAAGGTCAGGGAGGTGGAAACTGTGAGCAGTAAGAGACAAAGGCGAGAGAGACGTTTTATATTTTATCCACGAACATCTCAGTTTTCACTCCCAAAGCATGAGGTGTATGTTGGAAGAATTCTGTTTAAAAATGGGAAAATGTTGAGCAAATTTCTCATCTCTACATACGCTGGCATCTGCTATTTCTCTGCCTGGAACAACCCCATCACCGCCACCATCACCATCAACGCACACACAAACACACGCACACATGCACACGCACACGCACACACACACACCCTACCTGCCTGCCTAACTCCTATTTAGCCTTCAGAGTTTTCTGCTTTTTCTTCCCAGAACCTCAAGCCTCAAATGGGTTCCCCTCTGAGCAGCTCCTGCGGGATCCTGTACCTCCTCTGGCATAACACTTATCACACGACGTAGTAGTCACCTCCTTAGACCAGAGCCCCCTGAGGGCAGGGACCAGTCTGTCTTTTCCACAGGTCTGTGCCCCATTCCTGGAATGGTGCTCAATTACTGTTCATAGATTAAATGAATCCCAGAGTCTGTATGAGCCTTTCTTTGTGGGAGCCTTTGTTCATCTCTCTGAACGATATGTCTGTTGAGTATGGTCGTTCAGGTTGTGTACTGTATAAGTGTGTCTAGCAGGGTGGGGCAGAGAGGCTGAAATCCAGCCCACATTCTCATCACCAGGCCATTTTTCCTTGGCCGTATCCACCTGGAGAACAAAGTGTCTTTTCCTGATTTGCACAACAGCCCCAGCTCTGATCAACACTGAGTGTCTTCAAAGGGAAGTGACAACTTTCCCTCTCATTCCTAGGAAGAGTAGGGCTGAGTGCTTTTGTGAAACGGTTTCTGTAGGTCCTTCGCCAGCCATTAAAGCCAAGACCCTGACCCCATTCACCGCAAAGACCTCCCTCACTCTTCTCTCCTCTGACTTTTGTCTCCTGCAGGGTTTGGGATGACAACTCCAGCGACAGTAGGAGGGAAAATCTTTCTGATCTTCTATGGCCTCATCGGGTGCGCAAGCACCATCCTGTTCTTCAACCTCTTCCTGGAGCGCCTGATCACCGTTATTGCCTACATCATGAAGTCGTGCCACCAGCGGCAGCTCCGGAGCCGGAGGGCCCTGCCCCAGGAGAGCCTGAAGAACGCGGGCAAGGGCGAGGTGGACAGCCTGGCCGGCTGGAAGCCCTCCGTGTACTATGTCATGCTCATCCTCTGCATGGCCTCCCTCCTCATCTCTTGCTGCGCGTCAGCCATGTACACCTCCGTCGAAGGATGGAGCTACTTTGACTCGCTCTACTTCTGCTTTGTGGCTTTCAGCACCATTGGCTTTGGGGACCTCGTCAGCAGCCAGAACGCCCAGTATGACAGCCAAGGCCTCTACCGCTTCGCCAATTTTGTCTTCATCCTCATGGGCGTCTGCTGCATCTACTCCTTATTCAACGTCATCTCCATCCTCATCAAACAGTCCGTGAACTGGATCCTGAGGAAAATGGATGGCGGGTGCCGTCAACAGTGCCAAAGTGGACTCTCGCGGTCACGGAGGAATGTCATCATGCCGGGCCATGTCCAGAACCGCTGCAACATCTCCATAGAAACGGATGGGGTGATGGAGAGTGACACGGATGGGCGGCGTCCTTCGGGGGAGATGATCTCCATGAAGGACTTCTTGGCAGCCAACAAGGTCTCGCTGGCCGTCCTCCAGAAGCAGCTGTCGGAGACAGCCAATGGCTGCCCTCACCAGGCCAGCACGCTGTCTCGGGACAATGAATTCTCAGGGGGGGTAGGAGCCTTTGCTATAATGAACAATAGGCTGGCAGAGACTAGCGGGGACAGGTAGAGATGAAGAGTGCCCGCTGGGTGTGGAGGCCGAGGCCGGAGAGTGGCCACTGACAGGATTGTCATCCAGCTGAGCTCTGCTGGTGGCTGAGTTCATTCTGGAGCTGTTCCTTCTGGCTTCTTCAAGCCCAGGTTTAGAAATCTCATCTTTTGGCTCCAACAAACAGCCAGCTCTCAGGCTGCGGAAACTTGAAGCCTCAACGCCTTTCTCCTTATCTTCATTCTCTAAGCTGAAATTCAGTCTTTGAAAAACGAATCACAAAAGCAGCCTGAGACATTGCCCTATTTCTTTACTCATCCTGCACCAGGGTTTTAACTGCCTAAGGGAGGGGGGTTTTGAGTAAGCCTTGTTTACCTGCTGCTCTGCTCTGCATCTGGAAATAAAAATCCTGGCGATCCTAATTTTCTCCTGGAACTCTGAATGGCTGAATTCACCACCTCTCCCAGCCCCTTCAAAAAGAGCAGGGGAAAACGTGTCTGGACTCTGGTTTACCTTCAAAGCAGCTTCGTCCACGGCCGAGGAAGCCGTCTGTTCTACTCTTTGTACCTGCTTCTCTGCTTTTTGTTTTTTTCTTTTATTTTTAAGATCTTAATGCTTGGGTAAGGTGTCTGTGGGACCTCGGTGTGATAAGAATGCTAAATTCAGCTTCATGCCTTTAAGGGGAAGCGAGGTGGTGGGGGAGACTCACCTTTGCAACTAAAGAATATAGCTTAACATGTTCACTGTGAGTGGTCACAGAGACCATTTCATTTTCACCCGGGCTTGGGGCCCATTGCAAAGATAATGGCTGAGTGCTTATTAGAACTGAAAATTTAATGAATTCGCATTTTCTTAACCAAGATTACACGAGTGCTCATTATGAACAGTGAGGGTGGGGTGCCTAATTAAATAGGCATTTATTACACTCAGAGAAAAAGGAAGCAGGAAATTAACCTTTAGGGATATGAGAATCATCTTGGATTCATGGCTGGAGAAACATTCTGGGCCAGAAAATAAGATTTGGCTTTTCTTGTCTAATCTGTTTCAATTCTGCCTTCTGGAATTGTAACAGTCTAGTTACATAAACTCCCAAGTAGTTAAAACATCCATGCTAGGAGCAAGGACTATTGATCATCATACATACAGGAGAGAACGTTTTGGGGATGAGAGTTAAAAAAAAAAGATAACTGTTGTTTTCATATGATAAGAATGACGTACACACAGCACTTTCAAAAATGAGGAAAGACGGATGTAATAAAGAAGATAAAGGAGAAAATCTATACATAATGAAACTTAAATGTTGGGCAGAAAGCAGCAGAGCTGGGAGGACACTTAGGAACCATGCCACCCAACTGCCTTATTTTTTACACAAGGAAATAGGCACGGAGGAATCGTTCCTTGTCCGAGCTCTCAGGGCTGATTGGTGCACAGCTAGGAGAATCCAGGTCTCCTTATGGATAAGTTGGGCTCTTGGTCCAGGCTCCACACAGCCATAGAACCCTCCCACGACATCTCCCTCTTCATGCTGAGTTGCCTCTTCCTCCAGTTGGCAAACCCCAGTATTTTCTTAACAATACCAGAAGTGTCCAACAGCAGAAGTGTCTTAAGCAGCAGCTCTGGGCTTTGAACTTAGGGCTGTGCAGCTCCAAAGTTGGAGACCTTCAACAACAGAAGAAACGACTCTTCTGTACGGAAGAATTTCAATTAATAAACATAGAAGGAATTCAGGAAATAGAAAATTACCATTAGAAGGTCAAAGTAACAATTGCTGCGGGAGAGATCCACTGATGGATGCTAAAACTGAGATATAGAAGTTTAAGCAGAATTGAGATATTTGTAGTCTCCAAGGAACTCCACCAAAAGAGAAAAATAGTAACTTTCCAATGTAAAATTCTGACAGACGTGACATTAATTCAAGTGAGCTAACATCACCAGTAGTACCTACCGATGTCACGTGACACCTGAAATGATGCATTGAGAAAGGTGCAGCATCCTTGTGGCATCCTTCCCAGTAACACATAACTCCAGTCTGATCGTGAGAAAACAACAGACAGACACAGAGTGAGAGACGTACTACAAAATAACTGACAAATACTCTTTAAAAGTCTCAAGCTCGTGAAAGACTAGAAGGCTGATGAACTATTAGAGATTGGAGGAGACGAAGGAGACATGACAGCTAAATGCAACGTGGGATCCTGGAGTGGATCTTGGCACATACAAAGAACATTAGTGGGAAAACTGGGGTGAGATCCAATAACTTTCAGAGTCTAGTTAAGAGTCTAGTACTGAGGTTAAATTCTTAGTTTTAACGATTGCTCTGTGGTTATATAAGATGTTAACATAAGGGGAAATTGGGTAAAAGGTAAATGGGAACGTCGTACTATTTTTACAACTCAACTCAGTCTAAAATTACCTCGAAGTAAAAAATTAAAAAGAAAAAAGCCAAGACTTTCTCCAGATTGCACACAGCCAGTCACACCTTGATGGGCTGTGGCTTAAGCACACACCTATGATTCCAATTCAGTTCTCACGTCCTAAGCAGGGCTTGGCCATTGATCTAAAGCAGTAGCTCTGAGAGTGAGGTCCCCAGGCTGGCAGCAGGAGCAGCAGCACCTGGGCACTTGTTGGAAATGCAAATTCTCAGGCTCCAAACCCAACTTTAGGAATCAGAACCTCTAAGGGCAGGACCTAGCAATCTATATTTTAACAAGTCCTCCCTGAGATTTTTTTTCCCAATAAAGAACACTGCCTTGACCATGAGCTGTAAAGGACAGGGAAGAGGCTCTCCCCTGGGGCCCAGCCTGTGTCACCATCTGGCTACACTGCTGTTGCCAGATCTCAATGCTTCGCAGAACCGAATCTCTTTTCTGCAGCTCAGAGCCTTTTCTGATGATCTTGAATTGCCCAGACGCCAAAATAACTACTCGAAACTATGCACACCCTACTGTGTTAGAGGAAGGTAATGATTAGCATCCTGGATTTGTGCAGAAGGTGGTGCTTTTCTATTTGTAAGAGACTTTTTTAAAAAACAAAAACATCACCGCATGATTATCGGGTAGAAGATTTCTGTGTCATCCTAGGGCATTGGCTGATTGGATTTTATTTTGCCTTCCTAGCAGCTGGCCTTGGAATTTAAGTAATTCTAGAATTGCCTGCCAGAGAGCACTATGCAACCAGTGTTCCTCAAAACCATGAGATTCACCTCAAGAGAATTTTTTTTTTTAGTGCAGTTTTTCAGGCCTTTTCCGAGAACTTCTCAATAAGAATCTACCTATCTATCTACTATCTATCTGTCTGTCTGTCTATCTATCTATCTATCTATCATCTATCTATCATCTACCTATCTTTGTCTCCTATTGCTTCTGTTTTTCTAGAGCCCCCTGACTAATACCTCTTCCCACTTCACTTTCTCATCCTCTCCTGGATTATTTTGGAGAACTACCTATTCTTCTCACCTTTTATGAGGAATTGTAATAGTTTCTTTTCTTCATGTCCTTCCCTTTTGAATTATATCCCTTCTATGAGAAAAGGGCCTATTGCTGAATCTAACAAACAATCTCTAATTAGATTCACAAAAGAGAAGAATTCTTCAAAACCATTGCTGATAAGGAGGCTATATTATATTGAAGTCCAAGATCTTTCTCAAATATGGAGTTATTAAGGGTGGGAATGTCCAGTTGCACCCATCAATTTGTTTTTGATCCAAAACATCGCCTATTTCTTATTTTACTTTTTTCTCAGATTAGCGATGGGGGCTGGAGGATTGAACCATAACACAGTTTGAAACCACTCATGTGAAGCAGGCGGTCACCTGGATGAATGTTTGAAGTATCCATTCTCTGCACTGAAAATATGGAGATAATTGTTCCTCAGCTACAGAAAGTGTCTCACACAGAAGATCTCAAAAAAAAATCTTTTTAAAATGTTCCACCATTCCATTTCATTTTCAAAGCCTTACAAAAGAGGTCTCTTAATTAGAACCTTTGATTGTTCCATGAATAGAGGATATGATGGACAGGCCAGGGGGAGCGGGTGCCGCTCACCTGAACAGTCGTAATTAAGTTACCGATAAGTTTCATAGTCTAAGTCGTAGTGACACCTCATTGCAGGGCAGATCCCATGGTCCCTTTTAGTCCAGCCAGCTGGTAGCCTTTCAGCCACTGAGCAATCTTTGGCTGCCACTGCAAGGTAGAGGTAGAGACTGATTTGAAGATGTTACAGCCTCTCCAGCCCTGGACACTCCATTTTATCTCTTCTTAACCCCTGTGATCCCTCCCTTCTCCCGTTCCCATAATTCCCTGGTCCTTTCATCTCCTTACTTCCAAAGCCCGTTCCCAGTGCCTCCTGTGACCTGACCCACGCCAATCTAATTATTTAGAATTCTTAGGATCTTTTCACTAGATGACGGTGACCACCGAAAACTCAGATGAAAGAGAGTTAATCACCCCCACCAAAGCTTGCGACCAAGAAGAAATGAAAGCCAGTCTTAGACCAGATTCCACCCGACATATGTATTAGACGACCTTTTAGTGGCATGCAGGTTTCAAACCAGTTCGTACAGCCTGTTCCACGAGCTCACAGAAGTCCCAGCTCCTGCCTACATTCTCTGACCGCGCTCTGTGTGAAACAGTCAGTGGGGCAGGTGCACCAATTGTCAGCACCAGGCAACCCGAGTCTCTAGGGTCTGTGTTAGGTATGAGCCCATTAAGGGACTTGGCTGAGGGGCTGGGCTCTGTCATTACCCTGTTCTGTTCTGCACATTCAGTCTCTTTGATCGGCTCCTTCTGTGATGACAGCAAACACTGAGTTTTTGCTGGGTGCCAGGCACTCTTCCAAGTGGCTTGTATACATTATCTTATGCAGTCCCCACAATAACCATATGGCGTAGGAACAATTATGATCCCTGTTTTACAACAAAGGAACTGGAGTTCAGAGAAGTGACTAGTCCAAGGTTACAGAAGTTAAAGGGGACCAAGTTAGAGGAATGAAGAGGTGGATCCGGCTGACGCCAAAGCTTTAAA